TTACAGCTCACTTGTAGCTAATCATCTAATTCTTTTGAAATACAAAAGTGTATTTATAACTTTGTTGTGAAAAGATCACTAGCAAACCAAAACCATTGACATTGTTGACAGCAGTTGAGAGAGCACGTGCGAACCTCGTACCCAGCCACCTGTTGAGTACGAGGATGAGCACATCTTTTTTATTTGCTGATTCGCCCAAGATATTGAAATTACACATAAAAGAAATAAACTATTTACAAGAGATTGCCTAGGAGCCTACTAGAAACCATATGGCTTTTGTTTTAGGCCCCTAGGTTATAAATCTAAACTAATTAGCAAAACAATATGCAGCATGTATGCATGTTTATTGTTGTCTTCCGAAAGCAACAAATATTGTGAAGGGACAATTTGTAACAAAAACTGATACAATTTGCTATTCATATTGCCATAAAATGAATTGAGACCTCGTGCTCACACACAGAAAAAAAAAATCGTTTCGCATAACTTCAGAAAACTGCACCCAGAGGTGATGTCAGTTTCGTAAAGCGAATATTTTATATTTTCTTGGTGGTGCAGGTTTCATTCCAGTATAGGTACAATCATGCAGTTTTCGTCTGTTAATTCACCTCGTATCATATGTTTCCAATTTATCTTCGCACTTAACACAAGACGTTTAATTCGTCTAAGGGTAAGATATAAATACGGCCATTATTCTGATATGGTGTGATATTTATATAGGATGTTCAAGTACCAGTATGTCCACTGTGTAATAAACCTGTACCTGTAAATCGTGGAGAACCTCCTGACATCAAGGTAAAATTTTGTACATTTTAATTAATAGAGCATCCGAGCATGCCTTGAAAATTACGTCGGCGATGTTTTGTCGTTTTGAGGCTGGTTGTATAAAACTCCTAACTACTTTTTAACCACTATTTCGTGTTAAAAAGTAGTTAACTATAGGTGCATGTTGCTTGCATATAGCTTGCAAGCGAGGCGAGTCAGCTTGAAATTTCAGGAAAGCAGGTATATGTAGCCTGCTCGCAGCCCGAAATTTTGGTAAATTGGGATTGCATTCTGCTGAACTGGAGTGTTAATCATGTATAATCAGTATTATACAGTATTATCAACCTGGCCTTGGCGAAAATCACGCTAATGTCGCCACAGCGAGTGTAAAAATTGACATGAAATTATTGCGAAATTGAAAGTTTCTATTTTTACCATTCTGTAATATAAGGTGTTAAGAGTCTTCTGTACCCAGGGTACTTATGCCTGGTTCACACTGCATGGTCGGAAGAATCGGGGATTTCCATTGTATGTGATCATTGGTGTGTACAATGCTTTGTCTGTCGGAAAAGGATACAATAGATCGCCGATGAATTACGACCAGTGTGAACCAGGCTTTATTACACTCTAAAAACTCCATGGCTAAATTTTTCTGGTTAATCTAAAATTAACACTATTTGTAGTAACTTAATGTTCCTGGTTAATTTATCATAGTCCTAGCTAAAATTAACCAGATTAACATGTTAGATTAACCAAGAATTCCTGGTTAATAATCCACATAATTCAACTGGTTAATAATAATCGGGTTAATTCAAGCATATATATGTTTACAGCCTCGTTAAATTAACAAGGGAACCTGGTTAAATCAGCCACGATGATTCCTGGTTAATTCAAGCGATCACATTATCCAGGACTGTGGTTAAATTAACCATGCAGGAAATGTTCAATTACTAATTAATAATAATTGCATGTACATGTTTTGTAGGTTGGTGAACACATTGATCGTGATTGTGAATCGGACCCAGCTAAAGAAAAACGCAAAGTAAATATACTTATGATTTATCACATACATATTTCAGAATCTTATATCTTGCATGTTTTATTATGAACGTGATGCAAACATGAACGTAGTGTACACAAACAATTCCGTGAAATTCAAAGAGTTTGGAAACGAGATCAAAAATATTTATAGTATACAAATAATGAATGTTTATGAGTGCAATGGTAAGAATATTTTCATGAGGTGAAAGATGGAATGTTCCATTCAACGAGGCGACAGCCGAGTTGAATGGAACATTCCATCTTTCACCGAATGAAAATATTCTTACCATTGCACGAAGAAACATTCATTATTTGTTTTATATAATACCAAAATAGACTAATAGATTCGTATGAGAAGCATTTTGAGGGATGCGATTTATCGAAAACACAAAGAGTGCAATTGTACTATACGTTTTATTCCATTGCACTCGCGGAGAGTGCAATGGAACGTTCCATTGCACTCTTGGGAAATGGAATTTTCTATTCAATATCACGTGACTATAAACAGCCAATTAAATGATTAGAATTTAATAAGGTATTATATAATAACTTTTATGGTTTGTTCAAGATGTCATTTTGTTTCAAAGTTCATGAATTTATGTAAAATGGCAAGGGCAGGCTGTTTTATTATGAAAAAATTTCGACACATCAACTAGTCGACAACCTCGTTTCCATGTTTGCGCAGTTTTTCAAGATTTCATTCTCCACTCGTCCTTCGTCGGACTGCACCAATTTTGATAATCAACGACACTGTTTCGTGCATATTTATATATTCCACGCTGCTCCCGACATTTTATTATATAATTTATTCAATAAATGAGGACAACCTCGTACCCAGGCTCTTCCTTGTAGAGGAAAATGAGGATTGTTCTTTAATTCTTTTGTGTAGCTAAATTCCAACAGATGTTCTGCAAAGGGCTGCAAGAAGAAAGAAGTTAGTATGTTTTGAATCGCACATATTTATAGAAGCGAGAGAATTAGCTAGACTGTACACTTGAATATTTTACAGTGCATGGTTGACAAATACAGTAGAACATTGCTAACTCGAACTCCGAAGGCAAGCGAAAAATTCTTCGAGTCAGCGGGGTTGGAGTTAACGGGGTTCGTGTTGGATTGCTTTTATTATGTTAATAATGGATAGAGTATAGTCGTTTTATTATTCTAAAGAACTTACAAAGTTTGTACTATTGTTAAACAGTCCAACAGTGCCTATAATATATTAGATCGGTAATGATCGACGCAACTCGTTGAACCTTTTATTACGTTTGAATAGACTATATACAAATAAATGGTTGTTGTCTGAATAAAATCCAAGCTTCTGACTTGTCAATGTGCTATGTTCTGACATTTTGAGGCTTGCCTAACCACGTCTCAAAAATACAGTTTGAGTTAACAGGGTAAATTTGACCAAGGGAAAATGAAATTTGTTCTAGTTAACCGGAGTAAATTACTGTAAAAATTGGGTCAAATCCAGGGGAAATTGAATTTAGTTCGAGTTAGCGGGGTTCTACTGTAAGGGTGTATACCCTAAACTTACTATTGAGGGCGCTTAGTAGTATAGACTTACGGTAGATATTTCCACTGATTTCGGGAATACATAATAGTCTGGCCTCCGTAAAGGAGACGGTGATTCGCTGTTTCGAGAGGAATACACGATGGAAAACAACTTCTCGCCCCCGTGCCATTTCAGCCCTTCCCTTTCCCGTATACCCCATGTTAGGTGTAATATAGTTGGACGCCATACACAGAGCGACTTGCATGCAACACTAACAGCATTCCTGTACTCCATATATGATAATAACTTGCAGTTCCATACATTATCTAGTTAGTACCTGTGCTATGTGATTCGTGTAGAAGAAACTATTGCCTACGTCATCGACATCCTCAAGATCATGACTGCGCAACAGCAAGGACAGCGAATTATCTGTAAGTATGAACTTTTGATGGTTAGTTGAAGATCCCTGTAGGGCGAAAGTCATTATTGATCAAGAATAGAGACCTAATCATGTAGTTCCATGTTGCAAAGCCTGAAATGACGTACAAAAATTATCCCA